ACCGTAAAGTGCTCGACTTCGCGCGCAGGTCGTCGGGCTACCGAAGCGGGGGTGCCATCCCCTCTGCAGAGGATCAAAATTGTGATGGCATGTCTTCGGATCATCCTCCGGGATGTTTCCCAGACCATCGCCAATAGCCCATTGTGCAGCTCTAGTGTGACGTAAATTAACAACAACAACTTACTAAAGAGTGCATATCTTTCTCCTGTTTAGGGCCGTGATTAGAGAATCGGACTCCGATCCAAAAGGCCCTGGGCTCGACTCCGCTGAGACACGCCGAGTACTCCGCGCTATACGTGTTCGCATGATCTGTGGAATCGAAAGTTCTGTGGTCGATTGCTGAGTACTGGGATCATTTCCTTTCTCTTTATATCTAAATTGAGGAAGTTCCCTCACAAATCAGATCTCCTCTGCATAGAATCAAACTTGTCATGGAAATTTGTGCCATTCTTTCTGTCTACAAGTAATTACAGAGGGAGCTATTGACTTCACCAGTGTTAAAACAAAATTGTTTTTCGAGTGAGTCATCTATAGTGCTTCTGGTTTTTTCCTCTGATGAGTAGATGTAATTGTTTTGATAGAGCAAAGGTTATTTAATCGGAAGAGTACAGTAAAAGCTCGATATAACGAGTACGACATATTACGAAAAGTCCGCTACTACGACAGATTCCCGAATCCTTACCAAAATGCTAATATTAAAGGCACAAAGATTGTATCTTTATAGCAAGTTAAACTTCCTCTCTTACGGCAAAAAAACCCTATTTATGGAAATATGTTTTTCTGTCGAAAAAGGTTAAAACGGATGACATTTTTTTTATTTATTTCTGGTATGAATGCAGGAAACTCACAATTTTTATAATGCAATGTGCGTAGGACCACCAGATAGATTGTTTTTCTTTCCTAACAATTCTTAGAGATTCTGCATCGAACTTTAAAAGAACAAATTTTGGCTGCTCCTGCCGCAACCTTAAACTGTGTGCGTTAAGTTAAGGTCACCAACAATTATAGTTTTTATGTTGGAGGAAAGAGATGGTTAATATCGTCTTCAAGATTATTTTTTGCTGAATCGTAAATTTCTGGGATTTTAATGTCTCTGTTGAAGTAGTTTAGGAGAATGGAGATTTGTTCAAAGCGCTCCGATGCGCAGTAAGTTAAGGCTTCGCTCAAACCACTGGTTGGAGAGCTGGGGGTAGAAAGTTCAATCCCGGTGGCTGTCTAAACAACCGTCTTGTATACGCAGCAAGGTGCGCGTTAAATTGTCACAGTTGAAAATCTTCTCGTATGTTCTAGTGTAGAAGTTTGGAGAGAGGAGTACCAGTTCAGGCGCTGTTCACGTCATTTGACCTGGATCAAACTACGCAGCATTTCTGCAACGGCCATTAAAGGATAAAACCCTAAAAATGGTAGGTGATTGGCGATGGTTGAATGATAAAGATTGAGATATGGGTGATTCTTTGGAAACATAACTATTCGGGGAAAAAAATTCTTAACATTTAAAGTCTTCAAAACAATCTAATTTTTTTTGCATATTTATTTAGTTACACTTATTAATATCTTACAGACAGCAGTGTAGTTTATTGACGTTTGCTCAAGAAAAAAATAAAATAAAATAGAAATTCACCAAATTTTGAATGCCAGGAAAATGACATATTAACTTAGAAAGTTAAGAAAACAGTCATTTTAAGTTAATAGTAAGTAACTCAAAAGTTGAAAAGTTAATTTTAACTTTTTATGTAAATAAATTCCAAAAATAATTGTGAACAATTTGAACACACTGTTTCTTCTCGGGTTCTCGTTTTTTTCCCTCAGTTTTTTTTTCTTGATTGTTTTTAGGCCCCAAGTTTTAAAATCTCCAAGTTTTAGACCCCAAGTTTTTAGGCTCCAAGTTTCGGGGCATCCAGGGAATACTGTTGAAAGATCGGTTTAGGCCAGATCCTCAATTCTGTTTTCAAAAAGTCTTTTAAAAATCTCTTCAATTCCTTTTTTTTAGTTTCTTTTGGTTCCAGTTTCTTTTAATGGTATCAAAGTTTAAATTTCTCGGGAAAAATGTAATTCTTAAATCATCATAAACTGGACAGACAGTAGAAGTATGTGTTCGATATCTTTATAAGTTTTACAAACTTTATAGTTCGGGTCTTTCCCGAAAAATTTTGACTGATAGCTACCTTGGGCTCCATGGTTAGTTAGAAATTGGTTGATATAGAAGTTGGAGTAGATTTTTCGATTACTGACTTTTGGGATAAATTGGTAAGTGTGTCGACCTTTTGTATCATCACTATCCCATCTTTGCTGCCATGTTAAAAGGTTATTCTTCATAAGTTCTGTTCTTGTTGTCTGTTTTGAAGGTATGTCATATAGATCTATTGTTGATTTTTGACAAGTTAATTTGGCCTGTCTATCAGCTTCCTCATTGCCCTCATTTCCTTTGTGGGCTTTAATCCAGTGGAATTTAGTAATATTTTTGTAAGTATTCTTTATCATTTGAACTAGGTAATCATTCGTGTTTGTGTTGCTAAGGGCTTGAAGACTGGAGTGTGAGTCAGAATAGATGTTTGTTTCGCTATTTATATTATTTTGGTGTATCCAGTAAAGTGACTGAAGTATCGCCCATAATTCTGCTTTGAAAACTGTTGAATAATCTGTAAGTCTGAAGTTGCGAGACTCTCTAAGATCACCATCGACATATATTTACGAATGCACATCCCACTTTGTATTCGCCGTTATAAATTAGACTGGTCCGTAAATAAACTTAGTCGTCCGTAAATATCTCAATTCCATCTTTTGTTGGTAAATTGTAGTCGAAATTTATGGATTTTAATTCTATGGGATGTATTGGTGGGAAGTCTGGTAAAGGTACGAATGGATCTTCATCACTTTTATGGAAGTAAATATTCGCCATTTTTTTTCTTCTGTATTAATAATTAAATCTCATAGGGACGGCCAAAACTTGTAGTGCATCGGTAGAGGTTGTCCTGTAGAATTTTGTTATAGAGAGAAGAGGAATTCGTTCTATTTTTAAAACAAGAAAGTTGGTTCTTTATTACTGAAATAAGACATGTTCTGATAGGATGGTATTCTAATCAATCTCTTAACCTAAGATATTGATTGCTGGCGTTATCTATTTTGTTTATAAATTACTTAAAAAAAGTGGACAGGAAAATGACTGATTTTCATGTGACAAGCAAATTATTGACAGAAAAAACAAAGGTTTTTTCAACAAAGATTTTGGTAATNATTTCAATAAATATTTTAAGTAAGATTTGTACATTGTAGTCAATTTATTTAATATCTTTCTTAAGCAAAACATATATATCTTCAAATTTATAAATTGATTTAAATCAATCTGAGTATGAAGTTTTGATAGAAATATGCAGCCTTACAAGTAAATGAAATTAAAAAATACTATATCGCGACACATCGCTATATCGCGATGCAAAACTGACGATGCATCACGATATATAATTCCTAATATCGCCCAGTCCTAGAACTAGGTAATCATTCGTGTTTGTGTTGCTAAGGGCTTGAAGACTGGAGTGTGAGTCAGAATAGAGGTTTGTTTCGCTATTTATATAATTTTGGTCTATCCAGTGGAGTGACTGAAGTATCGCCCATAATTCTGCTTTGGAAACTGTTGAATAATCTGTAAGTCAGAAGTTGCGAGACTCTACAAGACCACCATCGACATATATTACGAATGCACATCCCACTTTGTATTCGCCGTTATAAATTAGACTGGATTCGTCCGTAAATATCTCAATTCCATCTTTTGTTGGTAAATTGTAGTCGAAATTTATGGATTTTAATTCTATGGGATGTATTGGTGGGAAGTCTGGTAAAGGTACGAATGGATCTTCATCACTTTTATGGAAGTAAATATTCGCCATTTTTTTTCTTCTGTATTAATAATTAAATCTCATAGGGACGGCCAAAACTTGTAGTGCATCGGTAGAGGTTGTCCTGTAGAATTTTGTTATAGAGAGAAGAGGAATTCGTTCTATTTTTAAAACAAGAAAGTTGGTTCTTTATTACTGAAATAAGACATGTTCTGATAGGATGGTATTCTAATCAATCTCTTAACCTAAGATATTGATTGCTGGCGTTATCTATTTTGTTTATAAATTACTTAAAAAAAGTGGACAGGAAAATGACTGATTTTCATGTGACAAGCAAATTATTGACAGAAAAAACAAAGGTTTTTTCAACAAAGATTTTGGTAATAATACCCTCTAGAAATTCTGGAAATTATTCTAGAAATTCTAACAATAGTTGAGATAAAGAGAATTAGATATTGAAAAATTTATGGGAAGTTTTGAAGCTAGTTATTATTGGAAATATTTTTTGTGACATACTAGGAAAATGACATTTTGAAATTTAACTAAATTTTTTAAATATACAAAATAGGCAACGCTAGTGCAAAGTCATTTTAAAATGTTAACAGCAATGCTATTTATGAATTTTTTTAAAAAAAAGTTCTTTTAGTAATATAGTACTAGATCTTGGAGCAAAAGACTGTAAATTGTCGTATTTCGTGAGAATCACCCATATGTTTAAAATTTATCTTATAATCAGACGCGTTGAGAATAATTTTTGAAAAAAAAAGGGATCCAATGATTCCTCTAGACTTCTATAGAATTTTCTGGGAACTAAACTCAGTGGCCCAAAGAAGGCCAAGTCCTACTATGCCCATCTCAATTTTCTTGCGCTTGGGCTCTGGGGTGCAGGAGCAGATGTTTCGGTAGGGTGGTCAGCCGAACGCGGAAGACTTCAGTGTTTAGTTCCCATGCATGATTGGTACTCATTTCATCGACCCACTGAAGGGATGAAAGGCTGAATCTATCTTTTCCGGCCCGAGGATCGAACCCAGGACCTGTGGCACAGGAGCACAAAAGCACTACCACTTGCTTTAAGATCTAACTCTAACATAACCTTTTACTTTCCCCCGTCCCCTTTCACTTAAAGCGAGTCCCTGTGTCAAATATAAATTTTTTACATCCTCATCCATTTAATAATAGAAAAATTCATTATTATTCTAACTGTTGATTTACAAAACAAAGAAATTGAATAGTCAAGGCTTTTAAATACAATAGAAACTAATCAAATACCTGCATCAAGAAAAATCAATCATGTAATTTGATATTCAGAATTTTTCTAGTTTTCACCTTATATATATATATATATATATATATACTGCGATACCTGTTAAAATTCTATACAGATATTTTGGAATTTGGTTACAAAAATTACCAACGAATGGCACTGTACGCTGATGCAGAGTTCTTGAAAAGAATTCAAACTTCGTTGGACGTGTGTTATTTTAGTTGGTTACATAACATGTGATATTTTAATACCAAAAACACTATGTTCAATAGCATGTCTGTAGAAAACCTGGTTTAAACCTCCTCATCTGCTACAACTTTTAACTACCACGTTTTAATCCTTTCTTTACCGTATTTAGACTGTATTCATGCAATGACCTGTGTGTACAAGTGCCGAATTATTTAGTCATCGTCGTCAGTGTCATACCGTTTGAAAACCATCCCAGACTACTTTTAACTGCAACTGTCTAATATTCCATTCTCCTTTGATGGATAAATACCACCAAAAATATAATTTGAATGTTCTTGATATGTTTTTAAGACGAATTAAGTTCCTTCTCGTTCTATTTAGGATCGAAGTTTAATAAGAAATCTGAACTTGAAATGTTCACACTTCTCGGCGCGGTGTACTGTTCAATGATGTCACTTCAGCGGAATGGACTGCCGAAACGAAAGGTTTAACACCATACAATTGGCATGGGTGGCTTGTAGCGTCATCTGTTTGTAACTTTTGTGACTAAGTTCAATTACTTTTTAACGTGATTAATTTTTTTTACAGGCAAAAATGAGTTGCAGGAGATATCAGATGATACTGAGGCACTTACTATTCATGTCAACCGTGGCAGACTGGGCAACCAGATGTTCACCTACGCCACCCTCTGCGGATTGAGCAGACTGAACAAGAGGAAAATGCAGATGATGCCCAAGAATTACGATGTCCTCTCCGAATATTTCGATATTCATACACACTTGGTAAAAAGTTTAATTTGTATCTGTTTCTCCCTTTTTTTAATATCGAACTTGCTGACTATGCAACGAATATTACAGGCCAAGTCATTAAAAAGTAAAAAGCATATCATTCAGCAGTGCGCGAAATACGAGAGCACTCCTTTTGGCTGAAATTCTAACTGGCATACCATTCCAATTCACAACTTGTGATCGGAAACCTGTAATTAATCCCGCTTATTAGTTCGTAGTTGAATGTGTCAAAATGTATAACTTGACATTGCCTTAATATAAGAGAATGCTTTATCGGGGATGAGAATCTTCGTGTCAAATTTTCTTTCCGCGACGTTGCCAGATACACAGAACAAAAATATGCCACGCTTACGATAAAATACATAAACAAATAATAAATGTAAATTAAGTAAAAGAAGTAGACGAGTAAGAATTATAGTTCAGTGAATTCAATGTGCAATACGGTTCTGTATAAGTAACTGATCGTTCATTAATATTCTAACTTAATGTAGAGAAACTTTAACTATCAACTTTAATGCGCCATTTTGCTGATAAAGATTAGCTCTCGCTGACGTCATAAGTCACATGTGTGGGTTTTAGAGGTCTTCTTGAAGTATCCAATGAAGTGAACGTTAGTGTAGAACTAGTTCTCAGTCAGTTTTCAACACTTAAAATGCTTTGAATATCGGCTTATTCAGTAGTTGAAATCGATGCGTTCCTTTTAAGTCGTGTCGGTATGATTCAGGAGAGCACATGAGATACGATTTAGGCAACGTCTTAAAGTATTGTTCCAAACTTCAAACAATAGTTCGATATTTAGCAAAGAAAAGGTAGAACATAACAGAATAAGTTGTTTAACAGTTAAATAACGTGTTTAATAATCTCAACATTACTTTAGTTCTGCTGTATCCTTACACAAGATGCTCGAAAATTACGTTGAAAACTGACAAAATAGATTAATTTAAATAATAACGTAAATACACAACAACTTCAGAATAGTTCTCCACGTCAAAAAAGCTTCTTAATTTATCCGATATAAGGTTTTTTGTGCAATGCTTCTTGAGAAATCAAAAGTAGTACGATTTAGGAAATGTACGTTTAGGTAACTTCCTCTGTCGGTTTTGTCCTCTGAGATATTTTAAACCTAAATTGAAAGCAAAAAAAACTAATATTTGTTTTAAACTTGATAAATTATATTTTGTACATTAAAGCACATATCTTATTTCATAAATTGATTGTGCCCAGATAAGGTTGAACTAGATCAATAATTTAAATGTTACGCATCAGGCTGTCTTCTTTGCGAACGCAACGACCAATAGGGGGCGTTGTTATTTGAGACGAATGACTACTAGCAGAACAATAGGATCATTAGTTGCACAGGAGATTTCTAAGTGTAGCATGGTAACGTTCCTTCTTTATTGTAGCTTATTAAATAAAAATTAAAAGTAAAAATGTTTGATATTCTTTCTTCCACAAGGGAAAACAAAAAGGATTTTTTTTTAGGGAAGGAATATCCAAAACACATCGGAGAATATTTATAAAAAATCTTATTATTAGAGCTAAAACCTAGTGCTTGAGAAATCGTTCTATTAAATTTAAAGATCTAATGTGAAAGCTCTAATGTGTAGAGCTCTAATGTAATGTAAGATCTAATGTGTAAAGATCTAATTCTGCACGTTTGAAATCATGTTTAAACTTTACATTCCATACTTTTCTGAATCATTTTACTTCAACCATTAAAACATGCAAAAAATATACAGAAACACATACTGTTTTACCATTTAATCTTGCAAAAAAAGTTTTTTGACCACAATTTCTGGCAGAAAGTTATAAACTAAATAACGTAAAATAAAAAATGCTTATAATAAAACAAAACTATTCTAAAAATTCCTCATATTGAAGTAAAAAAAACTATTACAAAAAACTTTCTTTTTCTTCAAAACTTTTTTTTAAAAGTTCTTAATCGGACGTAGAAAACAGAATGAAATGATTTTCCATTCTGTAGAGAACTATCATCAAATTAGAAAAAAAAATGGTTTACAAGTAAATTTTTTATAACAAAAATCATAATACTTACTTGCTTTATAAATCCGGAGAATCCAAATGAAATGTTCTTCATTTGGATTTTCCGGATTCATTCTCAAATAATATTTACATAGATTATCCCTTCATTACTTTTAGAGGACATACCACGCAACAAAATTTTATAATTGTAAGACCTTGATATACTTTTCAATATGTAACTTAAAAACAGAATAGCTGAATTTTAGTTGAAATTATTCATTCAAAAAAAAAAAAAATATTTAAATATAAAAGACCGGGGGCGATAAAAATGTATTAATAATCAACACAAATGATACTATTTCAAGTAATTCGGATGATTCTTATTGTTTTCTGAATTATATCGATTCAGAAATATGCATACTATTCTATAAAGAAGAAGAATATTTTATAGCTATTACAGTTCTGCTCGTTTTGAAATCATGTTTATTCATTGTAATGAAGTAAGCAATGCTGACTTCAATTTGTAAAGAATTGAATCCAAAAAAAGTAATTTTACCGTAATACGCACATTTGTAGTAAATGAGCTTGAATAGATAAAGATTTTTTGCAACAATTTCCTGGTGTTTCAGGCTTATTTTTCCACAAAAAAGTTCGTAAGTTCTTCCTATACACCAGGGGTTTCCAACTTACATGAGACCGGGGGCCGCAATTAAAAACACCAGTCAAATGGAGGGCCGCAACTTTATAAAAATCTTATATAGGACTCTTTTATGTTTGAAGGAACATTAAATATTACTGTCAGATTCTTATCAAGTTGTACAAAACAAAACGATTGAATTACAAATTGATTAAGAAGTAGAATTTTACCTGAAAAAAATTTTTTTTGCCCCTCTGGTATGTTGCATTTCACAGAAGCGAAGAAATTAGAGTTTTTTTTTAACGAAAAAAAAGTATTTTAAACCCATATAGATTTATCAAGAAAATTGTCAGCAAAAAAATGACAACTAATATATTTTAGTTCGCGGGCCACAAAAAAATCCGGATGTGGCCCGCGGGCCGCCAGTTGGTAACTCTACTATAAACGATTACTCATGGGTGGAGCTTCTTAACTGTTTCTTTTCCTGTGTAAATATTCGCCTCAAGTTTTGTTGTTATTCGAAGCCAGGAAAGATCTGTTTCACCCCATTTACACGAGGACTGAAAACTGGTGACTGAAAGCAATAATCTAACGACGCAGTGCTGAGAATGACTTTTTCACGATACTTGAAGTTAAAAACATCTACTTATGCAAGGATAGGCGAAAAGTAACCAGTGATGGAAAGAGTCAATCATCGCCTGATTTTCAGCCAGGCCCTGAGTTGTCATCGCCCGATAATGCATGTCTGAAACAGGCTAGGAGAAAAATCAAGCTTTCTTGTAACGTCACGTGTTTGATGCCAGGCCTCGTGTAAATGGTGAATTACATAACAAGCACGCTTTAAAGCTGGTATTTGTATAGATTTTGGACAAAATTGAGGCAAATATTTATATTTTGGCCGTAAGCTCGGCTGTCATTTCAACGTTGATGCATCACAAAAAGAAAAGACAACCTCTGTGATTGATGAGCTTGATTTTTCAGATCAACGAAGCTACGTTTGTCGAAAAGAATCCTTGGTTGATTCTAAGCTGGCTAAGGGATGAGGACCATCGAATTCCTGTTGACTCGAACATTATCAAGGGGAATGCCTACCCGAATTCTTATACGTTCTTTCATCATATCCACCGAGAAGTCAGGGAAGTCTTCCACTTCAAGCCGTCCTTCGTAAAGCATGCTCAAGACCTTCTGTGGGAGTTCAAACGACAAAAGCCTCACACTCAAGTTTATGTGGGAGTAAGTAAAAGTGCCATGCATATATATATATTAACAGGTTTTGAATTTGATTTCATTTCAAAAGTCTACTTATTAGTTGTCGAAAAAAAGTATCTTTTTAACATTGGATTTATAGGCTAGTGTCAATTTGATTTGAAAACATTGGATAAAATTCTTTTCTATATCAGAAGTTTGAAAATAAATTTCAAGCTTGTTTGATAAAATTAGAGTAAAAATCAGATTCTTAATTCAAAATGCCAGCTTTTCTTACATCAAAATTTATGAAACGAATTCCAAAGTGATTTGATGAAATTCATGAAAAAATCCAATACTTGATTCAAAGTGTCAGCTTTATCATTTTTTCATACAGAAAATGACTTAAAATAATTAGATTGAAGAGATCCGACTTTCAATAGTGAACTTTGTTTTATTTGTTTTTCATATCGGAGTCGGCATCTGTTTATGTAATTTGTTATGAATGTTAATATTTAGAGTGTATATATGAGTATATATTTAGCCCCCACGAATGTTAAAATTATCCTATTATAATTAATGAATTAAACCGTACCCTCTTATCTTTCCTTTTCTTTATCATACTTCTGAATTAAAGAACCTATTTGAATTCAGAAAATATTTGAAAAGCTTGTAGGAAATAAAATTGATGTTGCACTCAGAAGCTAGTTTTTTGCGATTTAAAACTGTTATGTTTAAAGACTTTACTTGTTATACATATAGAATAAATTTTTAAACCCGGAAATTTAGATCTTTTCAAAATTTCTCTTGACCTGTTTCTTTATGAAACACTTTATTTGAAGAGTTTAGTGGTAGAACCGGCTAAGTGGCACTTGAGTGAATTTGAGCAAATGATCGCAAAAGTTTATACCGTCTTTCTTTTTGTTTTTTCTTAATAGGTATGGTAAGTGGAAATAGGAGATAACTTTTTGGTCATAGGTATTATTGATATTAGTTAATTGGGGTTGTTTTAATATGTACTATATATACCCCCTGTACTCAAAGTAGGTATCACGATACCTGCTATGAGTACAGGTTTTTTTTAACAGTCTACCGAATAGGATAAGTACCTTAGAAAATTGTTGATTATGGTAATTTTTGCCCATCAGGAGTTGATCTCAAACCATAGAATTAGGCCAAATGATTGTGTTCGCATTTTAATTTCGTGCATGATTTTGAAATGTTGATCATAACCGATTTATTTATTTAGTTTTATTTAAAAGAGAAAAACGAGTATTCAGCTGTAATAATAAACTGAAAAAGTTGAAAGTACAAAATAATATTTATTTTCAATTTTTTACTAAAGCGGTGTGTGTCTGGAACACAAACTAATGCGATCAGAAAAAAAAATTATGTTGAAGCTGTTTAAGGGTTATTTTGTCTTTTTTTAATTATTGGTTCGTAAAAAGAGATAAATTCCTTTTTAATGCTGCCGTTTCTAGTTTTTCATTTTCACCCATTTTTTTTCTCCCCGAGTCGCGGCGTTCGATGCCAAGCAAGAGCTTTCGCAAGTTGTTTATTGACTGTGACGCCAAATAACTTAGCCGGTTCTTCCATCCACTGAATACTCATATAATGCCACTTAGCCGGTTCTACCACTGAGTATCTTCGGAACAGGGCTCGAAAAAACTCGGAAATTTTACCCGTCCCCGAGGACGGCTGGTCCAACAATGCACCCGCCCTCCTTTGAAACTAACCCGTAGCTTCTAAATAAATAAAAATATAATTTTCTCTTATCGATTACAAACATTTATATTAATTGCACAATGAATTAGTAGTTACTAGGATTACATTATACAGTAATAAAAGAAATACTAGGTTACCTAGTATTTCTTTTATGAAATAATTTATTTATTTCATGAAATAATTTAAATGACAAAGGTCAAGTTATCTGGAATGTCAGTTTATCCGAGGTTAATGAGTTTTTTAAATGAATCAAATATGACGTNTTATTGGAATCATATAATTTGTCAGGTATCGAGTAGCTCGGTTCGGGCAAGTTGGGGGGTAGGAGGAAGTAAGAGCTTGATTATTTTAGCATATTAATAATTTATTTACAAACAATATTTACAGACATCAGTAATTGTATCATTCTTTACATCAGGCTCATTTCGCGCGCACCTCTACGCTCTCTCTACACATAATTGCTACTGCCATCTAGTGGCCAATCATTTTCTTTTTAAACTTTAATAAAATTAAAACTTAGTGCTAACAATATATTAGAGAAAAAAGCAATATCTATATTAGCAAAATATTTGTGACCACCATCTCTGGTTAAAACTTTTAGGTATAATTTATATATTTTTTTTTCTGAGAAGAGAAAAAAAATAATAAATGCCATTGGGAGAATACTTTAAATTAAAAATAACAATTAGTTACCCTAATTGATACTTACCCTACTACTTTAAATAATGCAGGTAGTATGAACTTCATGATGGATAACTACGCTATGTCAGAAACATTACCATTTTTTTTTACTCATTTTATTTGTTTCGAATTTCCTTTTCTGAAATCATATTTTAAAACTTAATTTTTTTAAATAATAGAAGACAATTTTGCACAAATGATGTTTTTTTTAAAATATTGTTTGTGTTTAGGTTCATGTTAGAAGAGGAGATTACTTAAACAACTCTAGAGGAGGAGGAGGCTGGCTGAAGCATCGTAATGGCAGGGAAGTAGACATGGCTTACTTCAAAAAAGCCGTCGAACATTTCACAACAAAGTTCGAAAATGTGACATTCCTGGCAGTGAGTGACGACAGAGAGTGGTGCAAGACAAACCTCTCTCCTCTGGGAATCCTGACAGTGCCGGACAGTCCGAGTCCTGGACACGACATGGCGTTGCTTGCCGAATGTAACCACACCATCATGACATACGGTACTTTTGGTTTCTGGGGTGGTTATCTGGCAGGGGGTGAAGTGGTGTACTTTTCAGATTTCCTGAAACCGAACACTACGTACAGAAAAGATTATTTTAAGTACAATAAAATGTATCTACCAGAGTGGAAAGGTATTTCAACGACCGAAACTGGATTTTGGGAAACATATTCTACTTCTAAAAATACTAGATAGCATCCTCAAAGTGTAGATGCTACTTTACATTCATTATTTCTGCGTATCATGTTGGTCAATTGAATAATCCGGTTTTTTGCAGACAGCAGCCGCCATTTTGTAATGAGCCAGTATATTAAGAAAAGTCTTTAGTTCATTTTCTACTCAGCTGTTCTTGAGAGTTTAGGCTCATTTCAATATACGATGAATTACACAGATTGAATTTGCTTAGGCTTATGGAGATAAACTTTTAATAAGGCTATTTACGATAAGTCTCCACTGTTCCTGGCTTATTGTGAATTGTCTTAAGTAACTCTGGTTAATGGAGTGATATATTTTCAAATTATCCGATAAGTATGTGGGCTCACTGTGATAGGCTTATTAAAAAGCGCTGGAGGCTTTTTCTAAAAAACCTGGGGCCATGTAAAAAGGACTGCTTCCGTTTGCAATATTAAGTTATCTCTTGATGAAGAGATACTTTTTTTCCCGTGTTACGAGAGTAAGTCAGAAGAGAGATCTAGTTTTCTATGTGAAACTTTTTATAATTGTGTTCACTGATTTTTGTCTTAGCTTATTTTACTTTTATACATTTGTGATAATGCTGACACATCATTTTCATAAGCACATTATGACATATTAGAGCTACATACTTTGTTTAGTCATTATAATAAATGATCTTTAGAACACATTTGAATTTTTGTGTACTTTATTAAGACGAATAATGATCTATTTTATAGGCACAGAATGATATATCGGATTTTCTATATACTTTACTTAGTTTATTATACAGAATGCTTGCAGGTTTTCAATGTGTAAAATATGTACAATATTAATTTAATTTAAAGATTGATTTTTTAAATGAAAAAATTTTGGCAATTAGATAGATAACATTTGTGGAGTGGAATCTTTTTATAGGCTCGTAATGTCATTCCGCATACTTTGGTTGCCGTGGTTACGCTAAGAATGCTTGTCATTATGTTGAAGAGTCAATTAGCATTTCATATCTGTATTCTAAGTGTGTAATTTACTTTAAGAGTGATATAGCCTTATAATAAATTTAAAACTACGTTTTCTTGTTTTAATTTTAACTAGAGTACAAGAGATGTCCAAGCCAGAGGCTGAATATCACTCGGTTAATATTATTTTACCAGTTACTCTAATACTGAGGTTGTGAATGGCAACGAGCTGTTGACACTATTCCTATTGGACAATTCTTATTCCTATTCTAAAAAAACGTATTTTTATGAGTTGTTACTTGTAATTTATTAATCATTGATGGATTGCCGGTAGGCAAATAAGTGAAAAGACATCAGCTTAGACATATATATTAAGTTTTGAAGCGTTTGTTTAAATGACCAGAGAGTGATAATAGTCTTTGCAAAAGCGTGGAAAGACTGTTGATGATTTTGCTATTTTTTGGTTGTGCTCGTTAGAATCGTTAGAACTTTGGGAAATTTAGTTATAGCAGTAAATGTGGAATACTAAATGTTTAGCCAAAATATCGAACTTTTTTTTTATTGCTTATAATAAAACTTCAAACTATTTCAAATGCACTGAAAAAAAATCATCTCTATCTACCTTTTTAAAAAAGTTATGAATGATTTTAGATTGTCCTAATACAGGAACTTGCTCAGCAAACAGACTTTAAAGTACTTTTTCTCATAGATAATAATTTTGAGTTTTAATCTTAATTAAATGTTTTAATCTTAATTAATATTAATTAAATTTTCTATTTGAAATAAAGCTTTGAAGTAAACTTTTTTTTATCTTAAGTATAATACACTTATTTAAGCTGTGTATGGAATAATTATTACAATTTACAATACTGAATGTTGCATGACTGCATAGTTTTTGTTATATTTTCATGTATAAAAAAATTTGTTATGGAATTCAAATTTTCTATTAGTTACTCAATTACGTACACATTGAAACATAAAAATTTTCACACAACTTAATTTTCTACTTCATTGCCATTGTATTTTTTCATGCATGTTTTTTGCTATATTTTAATGCATTGATATTTTTAGTAAAGTTTGGTTATTAAAGTTTAAGGGGGCAAAAATGTCCTTGTATGAAGTGTATAGTCAGGATATACAGAGGGAAAAAAGGTTAGCTTCCATAAGCCGGTCCCCGAAAGGTTGATACTTGCCTTTTGCTTATAAAAACATTCAGGAACACAGCAGCAGAAGATCGTCTGCCATCCATTGCTGGGAGGAGGAATGTTTCCTCTTATGATTTATGGTTGGTCTGTTGCTGGATTTTTACACAATATATAAATTGTACTGTGCTAGTTATCGGCATAATTTTCTTTGATATTTTGTATATATATTCTATCTGCTAGCACATTTTGAGATAGAACTAAAGAATAAAATGGTGATGGCAGCGTTCCCAATCAATAACCGGTTTTGCTGACGTAGTGCTTGACTGTCAATTTGCCTATTATGCTCCTGCTCTGAATTTGAGTACATATGATTTTCTGTTAAATCTGAATACGTTATTCATCCTGAAAGTTGTTTTCCTGTTATAGTATCTCGTACTGAGAAATTTACTGTGTTTGTCACGCATTCCGTGAGCTAAATTTTTTATTGTTTATATAATTTTTTGGTGAATCACAGTTGGAGCAGCCACTTTCATCCGAATGACATAAACACTCTGCGTGGGAGTTCGCCACTATACATGCGTATTTCAAGCAGTGGATTTCATCAGAAATTTCAACGCAACTTCCGGTGGTATTTTGTACCCAATCCGGAAGACAAGGGAACTCCTGGATCAAGTAATGGGGGAAATTTTCATTCGTGGAGGATTGTTTGAGGAAACAAACCCGCGTTTGAGTTGCATGGAGAGGAAATCTACGAAAGCCTCCCACGGTTAGACAGACGGCAAGTAACTCTTACCCATCATCCATTTACCACTGAGGATATGTTACTTCAGCCGTGAGTCGGTGCAAGCTGGATGCGGAATTCGTATCAGCCATCTAGCACTCTGATTCGAACACGGCTCACCTCTTTGGAAGGCGAACGCTTTTTCTCCGGAGCCATCTCGCCTCCCTNCCCCCCCCCCCTGTTAGTGTTAATATAAGCAAGGAAAAGTAAACACAAAAATACGCTTTAAATTTGAGAGGAACGTTTGCAAAGGCACATTTTTTGCAGAGTCTGTTTTCCTAAATTCGCATTTCGAGCAGCGTCCATTTTTTTAAACACGCCATTTTAGCTATGGTCCAAAACAAAATGCTCAATAACGATCTTTTACTTTCGGAAGTAATTGAAGAATTCAGACAAAAAAAAAAAATGAAGATGGGTCGCACGCGTTTAATAGGTTATACCCTATAAATTACGATTTCCTTGGATATACGGTGAAAACTCGGTATAAGGAATGCGGTATATGATTCGCTTGTACAACACGTCTCCAATTTTCCGTCAAAATGCTAATATTTAATCCATAGTACTTGAATATTTATAACAAGTTAAAACTACTTCGCTATTGCGAGAATATTTTAATGAGGCAAATATGTTTTTCGGCTCTTTAAGTGCACACTGTAACACGAAAGAGAAAAAAAATGAAAGTCATTTTTATTTAATATAGAAAAGTAAAGAACAAAACAACATTCTACTTTTTCTTACGATCTCAAATCTTGAAGTTTCTAAAACAAACATGTGACCATCGCTTAAGGTACATTATTTCTTGAAAGAAAAATTCTTCTCTCTTCTGCTGTTTTTGAAAATATCTTGTCTCTTAACTTCTGGAAAATGCGACTTCTGTTTACCGCAACCTATCATGACACCTATTTATCCACTTAACGATGTTTACTGTTATCAATGATGTCAAAATCTATTTGCATTTAATTAAAAAACATTTTGTATTAAGCAAAAACTTCCGTTTTAGTAACTTGTAATTAGTTATTAACTTGCTTGAGTTTGCCGGTATAGCCTGGGTGACAGGACACTAGACTCACGTTTCTGAGAACGAGAGTTCGAATCCAGCTGGCCGAAGACTCCCCGTGCAGTCAATGGTGACTGACGCACGTTAAATCTGTCGGGTCACAAAGTCCTCTATGCTCCCATAGCAAATCAATACCCCTGGGGTACTGAATTAGCGATAGGTCGTTCTCTATTTCAGGTCAAAATGACGATCTGTGGAAGAATGAATGGATGTGTGATTGAGTCCGCTCTATAAACGGGTGTGACAGAAGTTGAATTCTTGGCCATAGATGGCGCCAACCGAAAACAAGAACCCTTTTGCCCTAATGGCTGACGACAACAACAAATTGCTTGAGTTTTAATGCAAAGTTTAAATTTAAGATGTGGAAGAGAATGTAGTACTAAAGACATTTAAATTTTAACATTAAATTTCTTATAATGACGCTAACACAATTCCTTTTGGTAATGTGAATCCTCGTTATAAAAAACTTATACTTTATATCTGCTACAGGAGGCAGTGAAAAACCTAATAACACTGTAAATATTATGTGAAACAACTTTTTAAGAGTATAACTTAAGTAATAAATTATTGCAGCATTAATATATACCTCAGAAGAGCAGACATCAGATAACTGCAGTTTAATCCCAGTAAGAGTCTACTGCTTTTTTATGTCAGGTTCGCTTCATAGTTTGAAAAACAGGTCTTTTTCAAGGCCAATTTTATCTTTTGATACTGCTTACAGTTTCACTCGCCTTGCTGTTTTCATTACTTTAACATCTGACTTCTTTACCCTAATACCTTTTTCATTTACTTGTAGAGTCTTACACGGAGTATCTGTGCTATCGACTATATAGCCCTTGTGGTGTCGGTAACACGTTCTCCCGATATGGTTTTTGACTATGTTAGTTAATTATATCCGTTATTTAGAGTCAAAGTAATGCTTTTTGCAGCATTTCTTTAATATTTAACTCTCTTATCCTAGAACCTTTATTTTGATTTACTTGTAGAGTCTTACACGGAGTATCTGTGCTATCGACTATATAGCCCTTGTGGTGTCGGTAACACGTTCTCCCGATATGGTTTTTGACTATGTTAGTTAATTATATCCGTTATTTAGAGTCAAAGTAATGCTTTTTGCAGCATTTCTTTAATATTTAACTCTCTTATCCTAGAACCTTTATTTTGATTTACTTGTAGAGTCTTACACGGAGTATCTGTGCTATCGACTATATAGCCCTTGTGGTGTCGGTAACACGTTCTCCCGATATGGTTTTTGACTATGTTAGTTAATTATATCCGTTATTTAGAGTCAAAGTAATGCTTTTTGCAGCATTTCTTTAATATTTAACTCTCTTATCCTAGAACCTTTATTTTGATTTACTTGTAGAGTCTTACACGGAGTATCTGTGCTATCGACTATATAGCCCTTGTGGTGTCGGTAACACGTTCTCCCGATATGGTTTTTGACTATGTTAGTTAATTATATCCGTTATTTAGAGTCAAAGTAATGCTTTTTGCAGCATTTCTTTAATATTTAACTCTCTTATCCTAGAACCTTTATTTTGATTTACTTGTAGAGTCTTACACGGAGTATCTGTGCTATCGACTATATAGCCCTTGTGGTGTCGGTAACACGTTCTCCCGATATGGTTTTTGACTATGTTAGTTAATTATATCCGTTATTTAGAGTCAAAGTAATGCTTTTTGCAGCATTTCTTTAATATTTAACTCTCTTATCCTAGAACCTTTATTTTGATTTACTTGTAGAGTCTTACACGGAGTATCTGTGCTATCGACTATATAGCCCTTGTGGTGTCGGTAACACGTTCTCCCGATATGGTTTTTGACTATGTTAGTTAATTATATCCGTTATTTAGAGTCAAAGTAATGCTTTTTGCAGCATTTCTTTAATATTTAACTCTCTTATCCTGGAACCTTTATTTTGATTTACTTGTAGAGTCTTCCACGGAGTATCTGTGTTATCGACTATATAGCCCTTGTGGTGTCGGTAACACGTTCTCCAAATATGGTGTTTGACTATGTAAGTTAATGATATCCGTGATTTGGAGTTCTTCCTCTTACTGTGAGCGCCAAAGGCATCAGTCATACATACTCCCAGTAAGGTGTAACAGGATAGTTGGACTATCAGGGCAATTAGTGAGCAATCTTTTGATACTTTTGGATGTAAATCTAGAGTTAACAATCTCTAAGCTGAATTTATTCTGATCCAACTACGAATAACTTCTGAGCTAATCCCAGATAACCATAACAAATTGGAATCTCTGGAAGTTAGATTTAGCATAATTTCCCATCTACTAATAAATTGGCACTCAATAATGAGCAGAAAAATAATCAGAACGATCCTAATAATAGCTCATTCTCATTATATAATTAAATTAATGAGTTTACCAATATCGAAAACAAGATGGCGGTGAGTAGCGGGATGAGCTACTACTGAATTAATTAAATACTACCTCATAGGGAGAGTGTTTCAAAATATCACCCATTCTCTCTTCAGAGACTTGGTCGAGCGATGATC